ACTACTACGACGACTACGACTACTACGACTACCCCTACTACTACTTCGATTACTACTACGACGACGACTACTACTACTACCACGACTACTACTACTACTACTACTACTACTACTACTACTACTGCCACTACGAATACTACTACGACTACTACTACTACTACTACTACTACTACTACTACTACTACTACTACTACTCTTACTACTACTACCACTACGACTGCGACTGCGACTACTACTACTACCACTACTACTACTCCTACTACTACTACTACTACTACTACTACTACTACTGCTACTACTACTACTACTACTACTACTACTACGACTACTGCTACTAGTAATACTGGTAGTACTACTACTACTACTACTACTACTACTACTACTACTACTGCTGCTGCTTCTTCTTCTACTACTACTACAACGACGACTACGACTACTACTACTCCTACTACTACTACTACTACTACTACTACTACTACGACTACTACTACTACTACTACTACCACTACTACTACTACTACTACTACTACTACCACTACTACTACTACTACTACTACTACTACTACTACTACTACTACTACGACGACGGCGACGACGACGATGACGACGACGACGACTACAACTGCAAGCAGCGCCCGCGCCCGAGACGGCCGCGCGAAGCACCAGGAAACGACAAAATCAGCTTGAACTTAACCCTCGCCTGTGATTTCCATCACTGCAGTCGTCGCGCTACCAGAAGGAACGCTGAATAAGGAAGCAACGGCGAGCCTCGGCAACGAATACGCACCCAGACCCAGACGTCAGGAACGGCCCGAAAGCCAGAGCCTCTCCCGAACCCACGGTGGTCCTTATTTCAGCGACATTACTGCATGCGGCGAAAGATTGGTCGGGGCACGCTTGAAGGCAAGCGCCCTCGCCGACACCCGAACGTCTGAACGTGCTTGCTACGGCGGCGGCTACTGCCAAGAGAGCTCGCGGCCACGCGATCGGGCCTGAACATTCCCGGCTTGCGCGTCAGCTCCGACTGGGCACGCGGGGGAAAGTTTTTATCTTCCGCTATCGAGGCCACCACCGAAAAGAGCGCATGACGTGACAGTGAAGACCGCCGGGAGAGCACGAGCGTCGAAAGGAAACACAGAAAACGCAGGGGAGACTTCAGAAGCATGGCAGGGGCAAGGGGGAGGACCGAAAGAGGGAGGACCGAAAGGGGAGCGCGCAAGAGGAAAGCGTCGGCACCGCCATCACTGTACTTACCCCCGGCATTCCCCCTCCCTGTCAGACAACGAGAAGATGGGGCCGAAGGGGTGCAGACTGACCCAGTCCGCCAGCTATCCTAACCAACAGGGTGTCCTGCATCTCCCCCTCCCGACATCAACACACTACCTTTTGCCGATCCCCCTGTCGCCTGCTTCTGTCTCAAAGTGAATGCATTATGGAACTCGGTCATACTCCTGCAGCTCAGCCTCACGTGCTTCTGTGGAGGGAGCGGGATACTTCGAGGAGCCCTTCGCCATTGGTCGGAAGAAGTGGGTAGAAACAATAATCAGGAAGGCGATGAAGCAAAATTAAGCTTCCGCCTGCCCCCTGAAGAGGAAGGAAAAGGGAAAACTGCTCGATCATTGGATAAGAAGGAGCTTTAAGCAAACCGCAATCTGGGAATCCAAACATGCTTACCTGCAGCAACCGATTAATAAAATGTCCCGAGCGGTTCGCGGCACCACGCGTCAAGAAGGCGTGACGAGAGCTCGCCGTGCCAGAGAACTGAATGCCACTCCTCACAGTAGTCACGGTGCACTCCCGCCGATCGCAGCTGCGAGGCGAACTCTTGAGGTCTCCCAGGGTTGTACCGAACCGCCCTGGTCCCACGAACGATGAAAGAGAATTGTGAACGATCTCGTGGACGCGCTGGTAATGAGTGGGACGCACAGAGACATACTAATATTATATGTCCTCCTTGGAGGCGCGTGTCCGACCCGAGCATCTAGTATACCCATCTTGTAGTATAACCACCTTTCGGTTCTGGCCGGGAGTGCTGCCAGGACTGCACCTGGCTCGGGGTGTCCCCGGGATCTGCCCTCACGGCCTCCAGAGCGAAAAGCTGGGGCACTGTGCGGGACGCACAGAGACACACTACAAGCCGTAGTGGATGTCCTCCTTGGAGGCAGGCGTCCGCCCCGAACATATAGTATATCCATCTTGTATTGTATCGTTTCCCGAGCGGCGTGGCCAGAAAGCGCCCGCCACGACGCATGTACTATAAGATTTCTCGGTGCGCGCGTCGCCCCAGGGGGGGCGACGCAACATATAAAATAAGTATGTTAGGGTGACGCCGAATGAGGGACAAAGAAACATTTGTCGGGAACGCGCGCTCCCCATGGCAGGATTGAACTGCACGCCTAATAGATGTCAAGAGTCTCTTGGACCACTGCTGTTTCATGTCCTGTGTTGCTGGGCCACTTACCGCCGAGGCAGCGCGTTCGCGTCGAAGAGGCCAACAACCTTTTCCCACGAACCGTTTTAGCACTCCGATCAATCCAATCAGTGCCAAAATGCGCCGGGCCACTTCTCCCACGCTGTTCCACCCGCACGTGTCAACAAAGGAACCTCCTGTTCCATGGGTCCCCTTACACGTCCCCGCAACAATCGCAATCCGAAGATCAGAAACGCCGCAACACAATAGGGGGGCAACTCGCGCCTCCGATCCGTGCAGCTGCCGAGGTCCAGGGCGAGGGCCGTCCCGAGGAAGGGGCTGACGATGCGGCCTCGCATCGCCGAACGAGCGTACAACACTAGTCTGCAAAAGGAAAGTTCGGGGAGGACGGACGGGGAATAAACTGCAAAATGGCGCATGGGAGATGGAAGGGGACGTGGCCGAAAACGTGGACGAGGAAGCAGCAACAGCACCGCAGGGGAAAAGGAAACACAAAGACGGGAGCGCGAGCGGGACGGGGGGGGCGGTGGCAGACGGAAGTGGCATGGGAAGGCCAGGAGATAGAGCGGAAAGAAAAAATGCCCGTGCACACCAAGTTGGCCACAGTATCCCCGGACCCTCGAGATGCCTCAGTTCTCCGCTTGGCACACATGCAATCATGGCTCTTCAACGGCACGGCACGTACGTCACGGAGTATGTTTTGGAGGCGGTGTACGTATCAAGCGCCAGCGATGACGGTGCTTGACACACAAGTGTCGGAAGCCATTTGGTCGTCAAGTGGCGCCAACGACCTCGAGGCAGCGCAACCACCGTTTCGAATGTTACTGGGGAAGCTCGCGAGCTGCGCGACTCGCACAGCACCACTCGATTGACAAAGACTTGATCAATACGAGAAACTATTCCCCTGGTTCGGAAGGATCGACGGACGAAGACCAACATGAACGACGGAGGAGGAGCTTGACATGATTAGAAGAACAACAGCTCGAGGACATGGCAGCAAGAAGGACGTGACGACGAAAGAAACATGATGGACCCACGAACCCGGAAAAGGATATAGACATGTGCAGCATGGTCACGTTTTCACGATACCCAACTGGGCGACACCTCACGAAACATCCCACGAGACACCCCGCGAAACATCCCACGAGACACCTCACGAAACATTCCACAAGACACCTCACGAAACATTCCACGCGACACCCCGTGAAACATTCCACGAGACACCCCACGAACAGGCAACCACTCAACCAGACACCCCACGAAACATTCCACGGGGGTGCGACTGGGTGTGGTCGTGCTGGGGTGTGGTCGTGCTGGGGTGTGGTCGTGCTGGGGAGTGGTCTTGCTGGGGTGTGGTCGTGTTGGGGGGTGGTCGTGCTGGGGGGTGGTCGTGCCTGGGAGGTGGTCGTGCTCGGGGGTGGTCGTGCTGGGGCGTGGTCGTGCTGGGGCGTGGTCGTGCTGGGGCGTGGTCGTGCTGGGGTGTGGTCGTGCTGTGGTGAGGTCGTGCTGGGGTGTGGTCGTGCTGGGGTGTGGTCTTGCTGGGGTGGGGTCGTGCTGGGGTGTGGTCGTGCTGGGGTGTGGTCGTGCTGGGGTGTGGTCGTGCTGGGGAGTGGTCGTGCTGGGGTGTGGTCGTGCTGGGGTGTGGTCGTGCTGGGGTGTGATCGTGCTGGGGTGTGGTCGTGCTAGGGTGGGGTCGTGCTGGGGTGTGGTCGTTCTGGGGTGTGATCGTGCTGGGGTGTGGTCGTGCTGGGGCGTGGTCGTGCTGGGGTGGGGTCGTGCTGGGGTGGTGTCGTGCTGGGGTGTGGTCGTGCTGGGGTGGTCCGCACCCTGTGATTTATCGATCGGGTCGTGCTGGGGTGTGGTCGTGCTGGGGTGTGGTCGTGCTGGGGTGTGGTCGTGCTGGGGTGTGGTCGTGCTGGGGTGTGGTCGTGCTGGGGCGTGGTCGTGCTGCGGCGTGGTCGTGCTGGGGTGGGGTCGTGCTAGGGTGTGGTCGTGCTGAGGTCGCCCGCACCCTGTGATTTATCGATCGGGATTTCAAAAACAAGCGTTTCGCCTGAGACATCCTCAAATTTTAATCTTAGAGCCGTTGCTTCCCCATTCTAATAAAAGGGCGGCTTCAGATACCCTTTTCTTATTGTGTCAACGAATAATCACAATTCCGACCAAAACTAATTGTCAATAAGCCACGTCTTCGCTTAACTTCTGCGGTCAGCTCAGTCAATAAATATCTGTTCTCTTCATTTATCTATTGTTGCATTATCAGGGAATGAATCCGCCGGCCTCCTTCGACCTCGATATTTATCAGGGAAAGAATCCGCCGGCCTCCTTCAAGTTGGGCACGGGGGGATATGTTTACATACTAAAAGAGAACCCTGGGCCTACGCCCTTTCCGGGAAAAAGATAAAGGAAGGATAAATATTATGTTTCGATGCACGCGGCCAATCACTTATACTTCCTGCGAGAACTGCGCGGTTCTCTTCGCGGTTTTACCAACGCGGGATGTAAAGGTGCGCAGGCGCGCCGCGAGGTCTACTCTGAGTTTGCGCAGGACCCCCCAGCAGCCCTCGAAACTGGGGACAGACTCGCAGATCGCAGCCCCCAAGGGATGGCGAGGGTCGAATCTGAATCTGCGTAGAACGTCACTCCGCTGGACACCCAACACCCCTCGAAACTAGCGACGGTTTCGTGGATCGCAGCCCCCCAAAGATGGCGAACTAGAGGGAGCGCCATCCCAGCGGCGACGGCGACGCCCGCACACAGGCACCCCTTGTCCTGCCGAGGACGCAAGGCGCAGCCACGAGCAGGACCCGCAAGTCACGATCCGCGAGTAGGGGGAAACGGAGACGAGGAAGAGGAGGCAGACGCTGAAGTGGAAGTGGAGCGACGGGGAACCGCCCAGGCGATAGCTTGCCCGACGAACGAAGCGTGCTTGACTCGTTCACTGGGGCCAATGCCCTCGCAGAACAAATACTGCAAGGAGAAATCCAGCCAAATCGCCCGGGGCTGGGGGCCGGCGCCTGCGGGGAAACCCGCTGCAAGGCGCAAGGACACATTTCTGGCGCCGCACGCCCTACACTCTCTGAAGGTGGCCGAGTAGTCGCCGCTCAGCACCGAGAGTGGCCACGCGTGACTTACGGCCGAGATCCTGAAGTATTTGTTTCAAAATGCGGCTTCGGCCCCCACGCAAGCAGGGCAGGGCCAGGAAGGGAAGGCCCGGGGCAGCAGCACGCAAAGGACCTGTTGCAAGCTTCAAACTGCCGACAGGAGCCCGCAACAATGGCGACGCAGGCATACTGGCGCAGGGCCTGGCGCGCGATGCCCAACCGACAATCGCGGCAACTCCCTCCGCAGGGCGAGATCTGGCAGCGCGACATCAATCCGATCAGGGGGAAAACGGGATGACAAGACAGATCAGCTGGAAAGAATCGCACGGCCGCAGTTCCCCACGCACGAGCGCCCGACTCCTGCGCCGCGCGCAAGACCACAGCGGCAGGGCGATCGAAGGGGAGAAGCTAGAGACGCGCTCTGGCCATGCTGGCCCTTCCCAGGGAGCAGGCCCCGAGCCTCATTGGCGACCCGCGCTGCGCGACAGCGACAGCGCGCTTGATGCGGGGACCTCGCTGACAACCCAGCAGACGCAGACCCCAGTTGACCTGGGGCTTGTTCAAAGCTGCTTCCACGCCCGGCGCGCAGGCGAGGAGCGCAGACGCGCGCGCGGGAACCTGGGCAGCAGCGACCGGCGGGGAAAGCCCGCCGGTCTCTGCCGCGCAGAGCAACCCGTTGAAACAATCGTTTCCGATTGCCAGGACCTCAAAGAGAAACGGCATGAAAGTGAAGCTCCTGTCTACGGGACACCCAGCAGACGCTCCACTTACACGGCGGGGCAACGGGCACGCAGGGAGGGGGCGGCGAATCAAGCACTGGGAGCACAAAGCTTTTCCCGCACTCGTTGTTGAAAACTGACTTCACATACCTGGCAGAACAAGAATACGCAGGAGGAGGCTCCTCCGACAGCACTGCCCGAAACGCCCTCTCGGATGGACTGGGGGTCGCGGCGTCGACCCCGAACTGGGCGGGCGGAGGTAGCGCGACCCCGCGACCTCCGCCAGCGCCACCCTGTCAGGGCATGCTGGGAGAGCGCGCAGAACCAAGGAAAAAAGGGCTTCGGCCTGCCGCCACGGGGAGCCATCGCGGGTGGCCGTCGAAGCCGCCTCGGCAGCTGCAGGCAGCGAAATATCCCGCGATAGCATGACTACCTCGAACGCAGCCGCGTCGCCAGCATTGACAAGGGCCCTCCAGACTAGCAGGGGCGCGCGCGAAGCGCAGCCACCAGGCGTGGCGCGCGCGATCTCCTCGCGCAGCGCTCGGAGCTGGGCGCCATGCGCGCGCTGAGAAGCAGCGCCGTTGCGCGGAGCCACGGAACCCCACTGACCGGCGATCTTGCGCACACACGTCATCGATCACAATCCAGTCGGGACCCTCGGCGCCAGCGGCCAAGATACCAGGCAACATCCCGCCCGTCGAAGCGACATTGAAGGCCCATTTCCCGCCCGCTATCGCCCACCAGGATGGAAGGTTTTGGGCCTTCCATAACTGGGCGTTCATGACCAGCGCGGTGACCGGGGAGACTGCGCCACCGACACCCCCTTGCTGGGCCGACCCGCCGCAGGCCTCTACGCGGCTCGAATTGCGCGCGAGCCAACCCGAGGCGCATGGAACTGGTGCCATTTCACTAGCGAACGAGATCGGCCGCAGCGTAGACAAACGGCGCACAACGGCTGGGCCCGACGCGCGGATCGGGGCAAACTGCCCCAGCGACCGAAGCCGAGACGCGAAACACAAGGCACTAGCCAGATTCAACAGGACCCGCACGAGACGGAGGCCCTCCACACCCTCGGCACGCACGCGCCGCCGCGTTGCACATGCGCACGGCGCTCTTCCCCAGCTTGAGAATCGCGAGCGCTGCTTACACTTCGTCGATGGAACGCGGCTGCTCCGGGCGCGGAAATCCCAAATGGACGCCCGCGCACCTAATAGCCGCGATCTCACTAGCCATGCGTCTTATCTCCGCTGGGCACTGCGGAAAATTGTTAGCGGCGCGCGAGCGTAAGTCCCCCGATAGCGTCTAGCATTTGGGAAGTCGAGAGGGCTGCCCTGGCGGCCTCGTCCACGAGCTGCACGCCAAAGCGCGAACTGGATTGCAAGGACTCCGAGAGCGCTCGGCGGCCCCCACATTCGCGCCCCGCACGGTCGAATACCGCTGGGCTGCCCTCTGCCGCTCTTGCCAAGCAGCAGTCTAAACAGCAGTCATTTACGCTTCATGCGAAGAAAAAGACGAAGGGTTTGGCAGGGGCCAGGAAGGCGCTCGTTCCGCGCGCGCACCATCTCGAACGACCTCCGCGGCACCGGCGGCGCGGCCGAC